CAAATATTAAAGGCAAGACAATTCCTATCATCAAATCGAGACTATTTACTATCCTCGGGCGACGCTGAGAACGCCATAATTTATGCCGAAGCCCTGACATTGCTCGAGTACTTGACTCAACAGAGCAACAAGGAACCATCCAGTGGAAGTCAAGGAGACATATGGTCTGCAATTACTAGCATATCTAGTTGTTCTGATGATTTGGTTGCTCGTGGTCTTGGGAGTAGCTCATCTCACGAGCGATTGCTTCAGTCTGCTGCTCGCTTGCTTTACTATCACGCTAGCCAAGGGTGAGTGATCATATCCAAGTATTAGGTATCAGGCATGAACTAACACTTCTCTACTTAGGCCCTTCAGACCCGGATTCTTACGCGAGCAACTGGCGAAGTATATCAACCTTTTCCCTCAGAACACGATCTTTCTCGAACTTTTTGCATGGAGAGAAGCACGTCTTAGTATCGACGACAGAGTACGCTCAATGCTAGACAAGGTTGTCCTTGTCGAACCATATGATTGCATTAGCAGCCGGATATTTGCGATCCGGCACGAGTCCCGTACTGGTAACATCCATTCCACGCGGGCAGCGTTCGAGCATGCACTAGAAAGCGAGGCGTGCAAGAATCATCCGGGTCTGTGGATATCGTATATCAGATTCTGCCACGAAAGAAAAGAGCTAAGGTCGAAAACCAAGGGTGTGTTTTACCGAGCATTACAATGCTGCCCCTGGTCGAAGGAAGTATTCATGGAGGCGTTCGCCACACTAGTTAGAGACATGGATTCTTCGGAGCTGAAGTCAGTCTACAATACGCTTTGCGAGAAAGGACTGCGTGTTCATGTCGAGATGGAGGAGTTTGTGGAGAAATGGCGCAGAGAACACAAAGAAAAGGACAAGGCGAAACGATGATAAGTTCGCCCATGTGAATTGAATAGGATTAGTTAAGCACTATCCGACTGAATCCGACAGATGAGAGGCTCTTCAATATAAATAATGCGAATTCTATGAATGAACACCAACTATGTTTCACCCCATCGACACCCAGTTCCATCGGCCTAATAGAGTGCGTCTTCCACTATTTTTTTAGTATATTGAACACGACGATCTCTTACAAGGGAGTACAACCTTAAATCATCAAGCAACTATTCAAGCAGAGTAAAGGAGAGCTGTAATTAATGCTGAAAATTATATACACAATGGGCAGGTAAACTATATACAGTAAAGGGCGCCCAACCGAAGACCAGTATGCCATCCCCCTCCCTATCTGGGAGGCAAAAGATACTTTGATGCCGACCTGACTGGAACAGGGGATTTCAACGAATGCGAAAGAGAAAGGGGAACAGAAAGTAATGCAAACTTTGAAAAATGCCAGCCAATATGCAAATGGTAGGTACAACGACCGATCCTAGACACCGAATTCCATGCAAAAGAGCAAATCCCCAACATCAGAGGATAGCGAGAAGAAGAAGAAAATAAAAACGAATGTGTGGGGGAAACAACCCCCCTCTATCTGACACGGGAGTCATCCTCAAAACCTACCTACCTCCACACACGAAATCTCCTCACTTCTTCATCCCAAGCATCTTCTTCAGCGCATCAAGCCAGCCCTTCAGAGTAGCAAGGAACCCCGACGTCTTCTTTTCCTTCTCCCCCTTCCCCCCATCACCACTATCACCACCACCCGTCGCCGGAGCCTTCTCCTTCCGCGACCCTCCCCCACCCCCGGCCACAGGCCCATCCGACCCCGAAGCCGGGCCCCCCAGCGTCACGGTAAGCAGCTGGGGATTAGCATCAAACACAGTGCCAGCCTGGTCTGGGCCCCCAGCACCCGACGGCACCACATCATCGTACGGGAACGCGTAGCCGCGGCCGTCGAGGTTGACGGCGTGGCAGATGCGCGCGTAGTGGTTCGTCGGGCTAGCCGCGTAATAATCCGCGACCTGCTGGCCATCGGGCTGGGTCGCGTCAGCCACGAGCGTCGAGCGGTTAAGCGCGGCGGCGATGCGCGCGCCCAGCGCGCCCATCTCGTCGGCCGTCGCCTGCGGGTAGTTGCCGAAGGGGCCGGTGGAGCACGAGAAGATGTCGGCGGCGGCGGGCTTGGCGAACGAGCCCACGTTGGCGAAGGTCAGGAGGTCGTTTTGGACTCGGCCCGCCACGTCGCCCCACGACGCCTGCGTGTTGATGGTCAGGTCGGCGGACGTGTACTTGGACCAGGCCTGGTCCACGTACGACTGGAAGTAGCCGTCGAACAGGCCGGCGTCCATGACGCGCCCGCTGTTCGGGCTCAGCGCGCGCAGGTTGCTGCCGTCGGGCCCCTTGACGACCAGCTTGTCCCAGCCGGCGCCGTCCTGCGCGTTCTGCTGCGTGAGCATGTCGCACACGGTGTCGAGGCCGGCGGCCGGCATGCCCTGGACGGTCTGCACGGCGCCCGACGTGTTCTGCAGCTGCAGGGCGACGGGCAGCGGCGAGACGAAGTCGACGTAGCTGATGTTGACGAACAGCTGCTCCGTGTTGTACGTGAACTCGCAGAAGCCCCAGCGGAGGTTATAGTTGGGGTCGGCCGTGTTGGTGACGCTGGGCTCGACCACGGCCGGGCCCGGGTTCAGCAGGAACGTCAGCTGGGTGTCACCGACGCTGAACCAGATACGGCCACCCGCAATCTGCGGGATCGTGACCGAGGTCGTGGCGCCCGCGGCGCCGAGCGGGATGGCGATGTCGGCTGCCAGGGCCGACTGTGGTCCCGAGGGCGAGGCCGGTCGATACACGGTCTTGCCGTCGGACTGGATGAACAGCGGCGCATTGTTGTTGTTTAGGTCCAGGCCCGTGACGTATGCGTAGGCCTGTGAGGAGCCCGTGTTATTTTTGATGGCTATCTCGGTCGTGGGGTTCGTCATTTTCGCTTGCCGGGGTCCTTATTCACTAATAATGAACGACTCAAAGGGATGAAGTTAGAGACTCAAGTCGAGTTTGAACTTGAAGCAGTGGAAGGACTTTGGATAACTTCCAAGCACTCGAAGCAGGAGACTCTACGATTTTAAAAATAAAAATCAGGGGTCAATGATGGGTTGTTAGGGATACAAAAGTCCCCAGAGTCTCCATAGTCTGGTGCGAGCGCTGGCGAGCATGTGCTCGAGATTCCTTGTTGGATGGGGCGACCTGTGACCCTTCGAGAGGGTTAGGTGTAGAACAGCGAGAAGAGAGGAATACCAACCGACTTTATGACAGCAATTTTGCATACGTAAGATGAAAACTGACCGTTCAATCAATGCTCCCTTCGAGCCAACTTGTGAGCCAATATGAGATCATTTGATATCTACCAGGTTGCCTTAGTTCTTGAGGCGGGTACCTGGAGTAGCTTCATGACCGATGGCAACCCCGATAGTATGGGGGATTATCTGCTCAGCCTTTTGTTTTCAGGGCATCTGTCTAGCAAGCTCCAAGGGGGAGAGACATCATGTGTCGGCGAAGTGACGAACTTCATGTGATATATGACCCAAGCCAAAGGGACTTATCAAACAAGAAACAAGGTCGCAGTAGGCAAGAGCACAGCCTCTCTGAGCCGTCCATATCAACGGAGATATGCAACCTTCTGTGAAGAAGAAAATCCCCGAAGTTGGGATACAGGAAGTCAATAGGGCTTCATGGTTGTGTGCCATGTATCCTAGACATATTGTTTAGTTAGCCACTTGGCTATTATCCAGCCGATGGGCTAAAACATGGCGGTGAGTATAGTATGGCAACGGGGTCACAAAGGAAGACCAGGAGAGAATAGTAGAAGAAAGTGGAACGTGAAGAATGACGTCTCAACTCCATGCAAGTCATAGCCATCGAACCCTGGCTGGCAGTAAAGGTGGAGAGCCGCCTAGCAGCGGAGTGTAGAGAGTTGTTTCATGTTAAGAAACCAATGGATGGACTCTATCCGGAAAGTTGGTATGGACACGCGCGTTCGTGTCTCGGAGGTTATACGGTTTAAAAGGGAAACCGGCGTGTGTAGTCGATATCTATGGTTCCGTTGTGATGGTTGTCGGGCCGTGCCCGGCCGCCTGCCTACTATGTCTTATGAATTATGATAGGCTATACGTAAGAGAAACGCGGAGAGACCGCTTCGTGTCTGTCGTACCGAGTCGCAAGGCTATGATCGATACACAGGATCCTAAGTACGTCATTGCGGTGCAGAATAATATTGGTGTCTCTATAATGGTAAGTTCGTATACTTTCCTAGTTAGGGCTTCAAGGGAGATGCTTCTAAATTAAGAAACAACGGACAATGGTATGTATCCATTTATAGATGGATAATATCGTGGCATTGGTGAGCATCATGGATCCGAGCCAGCCGTAGTTACTCCTCAACTGTACAGGAGGTAGTTCGGATCAAAGTCCGAGAGAAATTGTGGCGTTTTTGTCTCTTATTTCTCCACGATCCTGTCCGATCGATCAAGTCCCCGAGCTGCCAGCCATCAGCTACACATAAACATCTCTCCCTGACCACGCGCAGATGGGAGGGAGGGGAAGGGGAAGGGGAAGCCCGATCAGGCAGGTGGAGAGTGGCGCCGAGTAATCTGACTGGGCGGCTCGACGATGTTAATTATAAGCCTATACCAACCTCCAGTCCAAGCCGATCTCCTAGTCCCAACTTCTCCGCGTTCTAACCAGCAAACCGGCTGACATGTGCTTCTGTCGTCACAAGGAGATGGTGTGTGGTGTGCGAAGAAACACTGTCCTGGCTGCGACTCTCCAGCAGGTCGTGTCACGGTGCACCAGCCTTACTGGTCCGGTTGAGAAGGTAGGGGAAAACTTGCGAAGTTGGTCCGAGGTGAAATTTGAGTTGTGTCACCAGGATACTCCAGGAATGCTGAAGATCGTCGAGTGTTACTAAGTTTTTATGAAGCCCGTGACTGCAAAAGTACAACCGTCTACGTTAAATTAAAAAGAAATATTTCCATCGCAATAATACTTCGGACATTAAACCTGTCTACAAAGAGAATTGTGAAAAATGTCAAAAAGATGCGGTGAGTGCGGATCGAACGCACGACCTTCAGATTTTCAGTTACTGAAGTTGAACTTCAGTCTGACGCTCTCCCAACTGAGCTATCCCCGCTGTTGAAGATTACACTACTAGTTGTGTATATATGCTAAGATCAAAGTGCGCGGGCAGACCCACTTTTCGGATTACTAATGACGACCTGCATATGAGAGTTCTCGCGATACCGTACAAGATATAATACTAGGTATCAAAAGCTGCCAGCAAAAAGTACTTCACGAAGTTGTAAAGACCCCGTCTACGCTTATGATAATAAGTGTCCTTTTTACTCATCTTTAATATCTCATATGATAATTCACCGAGGTACTGCTCTGAGTTATAAGCAGCAATATAGCAGGCCAAGTTTAAGACCTTTGCACTGTTAGCGGACCACATCATTATTATCTCTTGCTTGGTAGCCACCGTGAAACTAGATTATGTTCAACGTTTCTCAATACACTTATAGTATCACCTAATATAGGATATGTATATATACAGGCTCTTGATTTCTTCCGACTAGCAAAACTTCTATAACCAGAGTTCGAGGCTTGTATGTTCTCTCGTATCCTAGACGCCAATGATATAAAACATGCTGGAGATATGAAGCCGACCACATTCAGATCCTCCTTGAAATGGGTATCTGACTTCGTCTTACAAGAAGGACATTTGTAGATACATGTGAATGAAAGGTGCAGCGACAACTAACTTATTGGCTATGATTTGACTCTTCGTGGACCTAAAAGATGTCATAAAACTGAGTGATAAGTAAATAGCCCCTTATGCGATTAGTGCATTAGAATATGCTAGCACAACTCATCATCTCGTAATCCATATCACGTTCCGCCTTGCACCACAGCGCCAACCCGGAGAACGAAACGCTTTATACCACCCAAGTACTAGTTGCAAGAGCCGCAGCGAAAGGGAGCGTCCACCACCGCCTCGTCCGCCCACCGCTACTGGTGTGATACGTCGTTTGATTAGGTGTCATATTATCGACGTTGCTGAAGAAAAATGTAGCGTTGCTATTGGGTATCGCGCAAACCGCCGTCGGAGCCGAGGCGTCGGTACAACGCGTCTGGTAATCCTGTTGTCTCGACTCTAACGACGAGTTGAAGTACGCCTTCACATAACTGATGGTGGTTGTAGCGTCTGTTGTCGGTGGTCCTTGCGACCAGTCCGCGTTGCCATTGCTCCAGTGCGACAGTTGCAAGTTGCCAGGAGTGGATGGCACCCCGGTTCCGTTCATTTCCGTGAGTAGCTCGGCGTCCGCGTAAAACAATACTCTGTCCGGTAGAAAATCTATGCGATACTCGTGGAATGCCGTTGTAGGGTCGAATGGCAAGTTAATCTTCCTGAAATCCGCAGTCTTCGACGCGTCAAACCCAGCGGCTTTCGACTCTTGAGACTGTAGGACCAGATTCACCGGAAAAGTATTGTTGCCTTTGTTGAACTCTGACGATAAGAACTCTATGTCGATTTCTTGAGTGTCATTGAAGTACTAATAGAAACGGTTAGCAAATACTGTCCCTCCGATGCGCCGGATAATCCTGTATGGCTTCTCCACATGGATCATCGCTCACCCAGAAGAAAGCACTGCACGTCCCCGGAACATCGGTCACCTTGATGCCTGCTCTGAATGTGCCGTGAAAATAATGAACGTCCGACGTTGAAACGTCAGCTCCGGTAACCATGTCATCCTCGAGCTCGCTTTTGACTACGAGGTTCAAACCAGCGTCGCCGCCATTGGTCCCGGGCCCTCCAAACGTTTGTTCGTCGGCAATGTTGTTGGATACGACATTCTCTGGAGTGTAAGACTCGCCGTAACGGCCTCGCGCAACCTCGCTGGACATGTTGAAATCCTGCGGCGACCACCCATACCCTCCATAGCCTTGAGGTCCTTCCGCGATATCCAAGTGTATGAAATCGCTCTCTAACAAGTCGCTGAATACATACTGCCTATCATCAGACGGTATTATTATCGAATATCCGCACTCGCAGTCGGCCAGTACGATATTTATGAATGCGGTTAAAGAAGCGAGTATGCGAAGAGAAGCCATCGTGTGGCGGAATACTCGTAAACGCATCACAGCACCGGAAAGACACTTTGCGGAACCGTCGGGTGGACAAGGAGCGGATTGGCGCGATATGCGATATGGTGGAAGCGAGCGCCGTCAAATCCAGAGGCTTGAGCAAACGAGTGATATCGGTAGAGCAACAAGAGATAAAAACGAGTGTACGTGGTGAGCCGAGACTTTCTGGCTTCATATGAGACAACGCCTTCAAGGAAACGAGCGACAATGAGCATCCATCATAAAAGGAGAGGGAGAAGACGCGCTCTGAAGCTGCCACAGTACTCCATCAATAGAAGAGGACTTAGGTAAGAGCCATTGGCGGAATAAGGGTTAACTTGAAAGCACTATCTTAGAGCATGCAGGCGCCCCCCAAATTCCCCCCTTGCATACGGCTGCTTCCAGTTTCCGAACGCCACTTGTGAGACTCGAAGGCTCGAGCGCAGGGATGTGTAGTTGATCAGAGGCAACCAGAGGGGAGGAACTGATGGGGACACCGGGTGGCTGCAGCACGCAGATAGGAAGGTGTCTCCTATTTAGCATGGAAGTGTTGGACCCTAGACCATGTGTTTTTTTCTGTACGACCTTCGTGTTCTCCCTTTTAAGAGGCGGTGGCGCTTCACAGCCCTCACAAATACCTCGAGAACATCGTCCCATAAAACAGTTAACAGAACCGAAATCTTGCGGGGATTTTAAGTGGAGAGAAGTGATATATTGAGTATCTGACGCATGTGTAGTATCTATAATTCGAAAAGAACCCTTTCCATTCGAACTGAGGAGGATTATAAAATCAATCTGTTTGCGCGCCATGCTTTCCGACTTGCCAGGCATCAAGTTTCCATCCTGAGATACTCAGCTTGCCAGCTCTATTAACACGACAGGACGAGGGAAAAACAACAAAAGAGGATCAAGAGAGGATCAAGAAAAAGGAGAGGGAAGGAAACGGATGAACGGAGAACGAAGATAGAAAAAAAAAAAGGTAGTCAAAGGAGTGCAAGGAAAGCGATGAGGTGACGATGGCCGATATGTAGAACAAGGTATCTGACGATAACGTAGAAAAAGAAGAAAAAAATAATAATAAGTAGCAGCAGCATTAAAGAGAATAAGAGTGCCGTAGCTAATAGAACAGAGGGGAAAGGAAGTTATCACTAATGGACCAGCCAGCCAACTGCATCACACATTATATTGCGCGTGTTGCGCGGAGATTCCCCCCTCCCCCTTTTCCACTAGGCCACTGAGAGCCGACCAAATTCCAGGCCCCCTAACGGCCAAGCGAAGTCAGATGCAGATGTCGGATGCAAACAGTATGAAAGTCAACAAGTCAACGATGTCCCGAATCAAATCCCCTCACGCCTGTCCGTACCGAACGAGAAGAAATTAACGATAAACAGCACAAACGTTGGAGGTATATGCCACGGAGACTCTCCACCCCCGGCCCCCATTAGTAAACAGGAAAAACAAACGGAATCGTAAGCTTCGTAATATCTAGTACACGCTCTCCTCATCACCCCCCTGAGATATCATAGAGGGCGTCGACACGTTAGAAGATGCCTCAACATCATCTACGTAACCGATGAGAGCTTGAGAGTGAAGTCGGAAGGACTCGCCCATGAGTCTGGTGATACTGCAGAAATAAATTAGCCAAATTTTCACACACAAATACACCAAAAAGATAACTCACCCCCAAACGACTACCTCGTCGAGCATGGAGCCCCAGAGGTGAGCCACGGTTGCGCTCAGCTGCTGCGAGTTCATGGCACCATCCGCATCCTTCTCGAAAAGCATTCGAATCTTGAGATACATGGCCATCTCCTCCTCAGAAGCAGCTTCTTCGTCATGTTCCAGGCGATATAGCCACAGAGTAAGGGTGATCATGAGGTCCATCCCACACAGGGGGTGTTCGATGCTCCAGTTGGTCGGAGAGGTGCGAGCAACCCAGCGCACGCCCTGACGGACGGCGGTTTCGATGCAGTTGTAACACTCCTCAATCACCTTGATCATCTCGCTAGAGCGCTTAACCCTATCGCGCGCGTTCGACATTGCCGCAGCAACTTCGTAGTGATCATGGTAGCGGAGTGCTTCCTGTACCGTCTTCAGGTCAACTTCTAGGCGAGCGCGAGCATTGCGGAACATTGCCTTGGCGTTAAAGATCAAAGGATGTCCCTTGTGAGGCGCGCTGAGCGGTACCGTATCAGCCTCGGGCTCACAGAGATCTAGAGATTTCTCCCACGTCTCGAGAGCGAGACGAAGCTTGTACTCAGTCACCACATCCTGCAGAGCCTCAGGGCTACGCTTGTGATACCACACTTCGAGGAACAACGCGTTGATCATAACTCGCGTTGCGAAAGCGCTGTATTTCAACGTCTCACCCTGGAACAAATTGTCGTGAGCAACCATGAACGTGATCGCAGGCGATGCCTTCAACTGCTCCTGCCAGGCGGCTTCATCCGTGACCTTGGAGTTCCAAAGAGCTTCCTGGGACGGGAGCTGGAGATCTTCAAATTCGTTGAAACTGATTGCTGGCGTATGGTTGTACGTCATCGTGAGCAGCCCGAAGAAGATGTATACAGCATAGTACGTGCGACGGCAACCCTCGTCCTCAATCCATTCGTCACGCCTGGGTTGCGCACCCTCGCGGCTGTCTTGTCGAAGCTTCAACTCGTAGCGATTCCCAGCCACCATGTTGGCGAGTAGACTCTTGATGGAGCACGCCCATTCTAGTCCCTTGGGGTCCCCACTCCAGCTAGCGAAGATCATGTTCAGAAGAGAGCTCTGCATGGTCCAGAGGGGACATTTGCGGGAGCTGAAGTTCTCTTTGTTTTGCAGGAACTGGTTCACCAAGACTTTAGATCCAATGTGGAGCAAGTAAGCCTGGTCCTGGTCAAAGGCGTAGAGCGCACCGATGGACAACACCGCAAGCAGCAAGGCCGGAGATACCTCGGTGGCATTGAACGACGCAGGATGTAAGAACGGCAGGTGGTGATGGAAGAGTCCAAAGTAGGTCGCAAG